ATCCACAACTAGAAGAGAGTACTAAGAGTGGAGTCGCACTAGCAATAAATCCGGTCCAATACAAATTCTCGAATCGCTTTATTAATGAAATCACTCCTAATTTGTACCCTTTGTCATTTTTCTTTAATAATTTGACCATGCATCGGTGGCTTGACGTTTTTGAATCCGTCGCTAAATTGTGACTTTCTATGAGCTTTGTAATGCTCTTCCAAAACTGGATCCTTTAATTGAGAACTAGGTATATTATAGCTGAGCACAGAGGACACGGATTGCTCCGTCGACAGGGAGTCCGGAACCCAAACAGCCGTGTATTTGGAGACGGCACCGCTGTTGTGTCACGTCTACCGTCTGGTCTCAGGTGATGAGGCGGATCCCACCCACGAGACACTCGAGGTCTCATCCGAGGTCATCAGGGGAGGCACTCGGTGGGCTCTGCCCTCCTCGGCCTTTGATGGACTTTGGGACTCTCTCGTCTATGATTCGAGTGTTAAGAGAGATCTTCTCAAGTACTCCGAGTCCGCCCTCATCTTTTCCGACTATGAGGTACCACTCATATCTTTTAATTATATTTTTTTATTTTTACTAATCATCTCCTCTTTCACGGGAAATTGACTAATCTAGAGCGCTGTTTCGTTATGCCTCCATTATTTGCGCATGTTAATACGAGGTGATGTTTGTTTTCTTCGCTCCTGACTTCCTTTCTATGCTTCGTGGTTGCAAGCTATGCTTCCAGTGAACTCCGATTTTAAGTCTCATTTAAAACAGTCTAAATTATCTGCTTACCCATCTTGAGTTCTCTCTTCCCATCTTTTTCTTGTTCTATCTACCCAAGGTAAGCCAGCACGTGATTGCATGGAACCGCGTCATCTTTCTACACGGTCCTCCAGGAACCGGCAAAACGTCTTTATGCCGTGCTCTAGCTCACAAGCTTTCCATTCGCCTCTCCCATCGCTTCACATCGGCAGCGCTGATTGAGATCAATACGGTTAACCTGATGTCTAAGTGGTTCTCTGAGTCTGCTCGCCTCGTTTCCCAGATGTTTTCGTCAATTTTTGAGTATGTCGAAGATTCTAACCACCTAGTCTTTCTTCTCGTTGACGAGGTAGAGAGCTTAACCTCTGTACGAAAGTCTGTGGCCTCTGCCTGTGAACCCAGTGATGCTCTCCGTGTTGTCAATGCAGTTCTGACTCACTTGGATCAGGTTTGGTGACTTCTTGTTAAGTACGCTACTTATCAAATTTAAGTCGTGGTATCATCCTTGCTTTGTTCTTAGCTCAAACACTGTCCCAATGTTCTCGTAATGGCAACTTCTAATGTCTCTGGTATTGTGGATCCCGCATTTCTTGACAGAGCAGATATTCGTGCTTACATCGGGCCTCCGTCAGCTGTGGCCATATACTCTATATATGCCTCCTGTCTAAATGAACTCATTCGAGTTGGTCTCATAGAACGGCAGAAGTCTGGTCTGCTGAACTACCGTGTACTGTCGGCATTGCAATTCGTTGAGAGTTCAGTGAGTTATTTTTCCCCTTGAAAGAGGTTTATGGGAACTAAAGATGCTTCTGGAAAATGGTTTATGCTCCATACTCACACTGAAGAGTGTAAACAAAGTTTATCTCAGAAATCCAGGCTCAGTTCTACAACCCAGATTTTCGTAACAATTTCAATAGCATTATGCACTATTGCTATTCGAACATATATTGAGGGCTGATTGTATATTGACCCACCCAAAGTAGGTATTACAGTAAAACTGCTTTTGGTGAGCGGGTACCGTCGGGATCTGAGGATATCTGGAGGTCTTATTCATACGATGTAACTTTACTTGACGTCCGTCTCCACCGCCTGATGCATGCTTGCATGTATGCAAGATGGTATTTGCTTGTACATCATTGGCTCCTCTATTATGGTATGGATTTTAATAAGATGAATGTTAACTGACTGTAAATCATTGTCGTAACAGCCGTAGCATCCTTATTCTATGGGTGTTGAAACTAGCCATACGTTGGTGCTCTTCAATTACAAATTCGTGTTTTTCAAAGCTCCAAGCTTTTGTATGAGCTACCGTTGCAAAATTCCAATTTTCAGCTTCAATTGGCATTAGTTACTTATTGTCTGCAAATGGATTCAATGGAGATTTGGTGCTTTCTGTTGGAATGTAACGTAATTAAACGTTGCCGTTATTTTTGTTGAATTTAACAATGGTTACCCTAACAACCCCACTCAATGGCTGCTGTCGCCACTGTATGTCTCTGTACCGATGCTTTCTGCAAACCCAGGTGACTGCGCCAAGTCTGGCAGTGTGGCGTTTAGCCCAGCGTAGCGTTGGCCTCAATGGACGGGCGCTGCGGAAGCTACCACTCTTGGCACACGCCTTCCATATGGACTCCAAGTACCGCCCTATACAAGCCCCCCTCCAAGCCAAACAACGGGTTACCAATAATGATGATAGTGAGAACGTTTCTCCCCAGAGAACCTCAGCATCGGGCTCTGAGAGGAATTCTTCATCCGCCGTTCCATTTTTGGTTTTTGTTGAAGCTCTGCAACGCGCAGTGAACCGTCGCTTTTCTGATCAGCAGCTCATCACTGAATACATGGGCGATTCGAAATCGGTTTAGAGAGGGAAGAGAGCTAATTCTGGTAGTTCTCTTTCTACCACCTCCACTATCTCCTCAATTGTAGCCAGATTCGCTTGACTACGCATTTATCTGCCCCGTTTGGATCATTTATGTGTATTTTTATTGAAAAGTGCGTTAAGCTTAGTCACAAGTAGTTTCGAAGGCTTTGATAAGGATCAATATTTGTCATTCTTTGACATTTCATTAAGGTGAAGTGTAATTCCGCTAAAAAACCATAACTGTTCGCAGTTATGCCATTATTTGCACAGCAGGCTCCTTGTCTTATGATAGAATTCGATCCGAATTAAACTAAAGGTTTTATGAAGTGGGATGTCCATGTAGCCGACTTGCGTAATATTCTAGAGCAGGTTGCATTGCATCATTCATACGTCTTAGTTCAGGTGGTTACTATTACTGTAGGTTTGGTGTTAGCTCTCTCTCCCTCACCATAAATGACGCGCACATGTACGGTTTAACTCGCCTGAACCTCCATGACGGGGTGTTTGCTTCATTCTTCTAATCATAATCGTGTTTAGCATAGCAAGAAACCTGTCAAAGTACTAGATCGATCAGTTTAAGTGGTCTGGTAAGTAGTCTACAGAGTGGATGATTCTTTTGTCCATAGGGTAGTCGCTTGTAGGTATACGCGTTTGGCAAAATGAAATCTTGTCGCCCTACCAGTTATACCGGTGAAATTAATATTGCAGAACCTTGGTAATAGTTAGTTGTTGAATGCCTGCACTTTACACCTTACGGTTTATTTGAGACTTAAATGCCGGCTCAATACCATGGTTACAAAGTCTATTTGACGTCCGTATGGGTCACGTCTATTGGTTTAGCCTGTCCCTGATGCTGATTGGAGGTCTTTACACGTATAGAACACTTTGAATGCCAAGATGTCTTTTACAAGCAGGGCTATGGCTCAAAGTTCGCGTGTCCGAGGTCATGATCGTAGACCACAGCCGCAGTCCATGGAGTCCCTCTACAAAACTACTCAAAACTTTTGCAATAGCATTCAAAAGGCACTTGATGCAGTAGGCCAGCAGTGCCTGCGCCTGTATAACAATAAGGACAACGAACACATAATTGAGGTTTTGGAGCGCCTAAATGTGCTCCATGGTGATTTGCAATTATACGCGTTATCGGATGTGCAGTGTCAACTGCTAATTTAGGATCTTGATTTGGATATCAGTGAAGGTGTTCTATTGGGGCTTGTTAAAAAGCTCCGCGATCTTGAACTCTTACGGAAAAGTGCTGCTGACACATTTTTAACCTTGAATAAGCGCCTCTCTCTAATGCTAGATAATGGTATTTATGTCTTCTGTGTTAGCCTAATCGAACTCACTCAAGGAAATGTTAATGAAGTCACTGAATATAATGATTTTACTTCCGAGCAAAGAAGCAACCTCATTCAGACTGTCAATCAGATTGAACAACACCAGGAAAGATGGATTAATCTTACAATGGATACACAGTCAGTGTTGAGCAACTTGGAGGAACTAGTAGCCTGTTTTGAAAACATTCAGGGTGTGTGGAATAAAATTAGAGAGGGAGTCGCTGAATGGATCAATCATGATCGCGAATATGCGATTTGCTTGACTAACTGTATCAGACAACAAGGAGAGGTGGTGAAGATTCTACTTCGTGAAATTGATGCGATCTCAGAGAAGGAGCAGCAGAAAATGGAGGAACGTCGTTGCCGTAGGCTCCGAATGGAGGCTCTTCAGAAGCGTCGTCGGGACCTGTGCAACACACTGAAACTTATCCAGCGTGCTAAGCGGTTCAATGCATCAAAAATGGCAGCGTTTGATTCCGACTCAGCACAAATTGAGAATAATGGAGGAGAATGTAGCTCTGCGAAGCCATCGACCACAGGTGATGATGTGAATGTCTCGGATGATTCAAAAGCGATGAAGGAGTTTTATAGGCGACGGGACGCAAAATTAGACAAGGAAGAGAGTGACATAAAGTCGTCTTTGGCCAATGTGATTAAGCGCATCAGTGATTTGAAGTGTACTGGTGATGAAGACGAGAAAGAAAGC